GGGAGGAGACAGAGAGTATTTCATGTTAATAGGCGTGTGTTTACGTGGGCGTCAAGTAGTTGTGATTTATCATCTTCGTTATTGCCTCATTTTCACTCTTGTGTAGATATTACCACCCAGGAATGATAGTGCCTTTTGCAATAAAATGGAGATTTTAATTGGGTCTTTGCTTAAGTCTTGAGATGTCGAAATCTCTGCTTGAAAGCACTTAGATCTAATTGCAAATCACGATTAGATCGATTTGTTCGTCGTGGAAGAAATCTTAGCCTTTCAGGGGTCAAGGTCACATTTATTCACCTCCTTCTATGTCTTCTAAACGAAATCTCTTTAATATCTAATCAGGTAGCCTTCAATAGTCCCTTTTAAATTGCGACCGATTCCTGTGCGTGTACTACTTACAAATTGTTTAGGCTAGACAGTTATATTATGCTAAATCAAATTTGGGAGGGGGGGGGGGGGGGGGGGGGTTGCCATTATCCCTCAAAATTAAGCAATTGCTCACTTAAGCAGAGGAAGATCGTTGTATGCGCGGAAGTCTGATCTGCTGAGTGAATAGAGGTAGTCTAGTTGTTTTCAAGACTGCATTATCTCTATTAGAGTGTAGGTGTGGCTTTTTAGCTACCTCTCCTAGTGTAGCAAAGTTGGTTGCATAATTGAGAAGTAGGGGGGGGGGGAGGCGTGTTCACACCTGTTATTTACTTGTCACCCTTTCATGAGGCTATGCATCATACGTTATGCTTGGTCAGCAAGTTAATACTCTGGCTCTAGCACCCCCTTGAGTATTATCTTAAGGGAAGCTTCTGTTGGATAATAAGCTTGAATTCAATAAAAGTAGGTTATAATTAGAACTTCTGTAACCAAATAGGGTAGAATTTATTGGTATCAAATGGCAGGCTTTGTGGTAGTTATTAATCATTTAGTTGACTTCGGGCTTCACAGTAGGGAGGAGCATCAAAGTCACAAAGAGTGGAGGGGGGGGGGGCAGAAGTGATTAGCACTTGTAGAAGTGATACACTCAAAGGTAGGGAAAAAGTGAAGTGAATACTTTGGGAGTAGTCAAATATGATGCGCAGTGGGGTCATAGTAGTTTGAAGTCAGAAGTCAACTGTCAGTTCATAGACTTTTTGCCGTATAAGCATACATTGCACCG